TAGCTTACATCCAACTTTTCTCACCCTTCCAAATTTTTGCATTCTGCTTGAAGAGTTCTAATGTATAACAGTGGGTCTTGATTTTGTGTCATTTCAATTAAGCTTCGTGTTACTATTCTTGTTTTGTTTGGATTTTTATTGTGAAATTGCATGATTCTGAATGGAATCTGCATGAAAGCTTGTATAGGTTGCAAAAGAATTGATCAGCAGAGGCAAATTAAGTCATGCAAGTTATCAAGGGAAGGTTGTTGGTGAACTGGTCAGATATTACATTCTATAGTTTGAATGAACAGAATAACATTTTTTTAGGAACTGGCTTTCTTGTACGCCAAAGTTAACTTGCTAACTCTCTTTGATTCTGTGGCACAGCGTTTGTTCATTCACATTTATTTTATGGCAGTATCCATATTATCATTTGAAAAACCCTACAGTTTTTTGGCAGTACAGGTAGCTTGCCTTGTAAATTTTATAACCTTTGAGGGTTGTAATCAACAAAGCCTTAAAATATGCACTGCGTTTTTATTTCTGAAGTTTCACATAAATAAAAAAAGATATTCATATATTTGTCATAGGCGTCGGCCTGTTAGAAACTACACTAATATAAACTCTGATGGCTACAGAGTTCTCTCTATACTACCAGTCTATTTTATGAACAATTAAGTACGGTTAAGACACAAATATTTTTTGTTCTAGAGAGTGCACTTAATTTTTCCCTATTATTTTGGACTCCAATAGCTGCAGTGAGGAATTGAGTCAAAAGTGCTCAAACAGTTTTCTGTCTTGGTGATTGGGGGAACAAAAACAACTGTAAGCCAAATATGAAAACTCATGTCATCAAAAACTGAAGATTTGGCTCCCCAGAGCAATCTTTGAGTGCTCCAGACACTGCAGAAGTTGGGCTGGAAAACTACATGAGGTTCTATTAGAGAAAATGATATATTACAAAGCTAAGTAGCAGCTCCAAAATTGTATTTATTTCCAGTCATGCCTTGTAAATTCTTAGAAAACAAAAATTGAGGATGATTGTAAATCAATTATTTGTCTCTACTGTGCCCCCCTCCCTCCATTAAAGGTAGATAGTCTTGGAGAACTTAATATGGGATGGAATACTTTGGGCTATTTGGTGAGAATTGAGCTGCTGTTAAGCAGGTTAAATTCTAACCAATTAGAGTAAATCTTAATTTCCTAATTCTCATAGAAGCTTTGGGGAAGAGAAAAGAACACAGTAATTGTAGGGGATGGCCTGGGAAATTTTTCTTCTATGTACTCATCTTAGAATACAAGACATTGTTTATCTCAGTTTACTATCATGACTAAACCAGGATAAGATTTAAGGTAGACAAATTCAAAGGAAGGAATGGAAAAGAAAAAAAAATTCTTTCTTTCTTTCTCATTTTACTGCTGTTGGACTTCATACCTTCCAAAGGATCTTGGAACACATTCCAACAAGCATTCAAAAGGCATCTAGTAAAATAACTGGACTGGTTTTCACCTGTATGAATTTAGAGTATACTGTGATCTCTTCCCTTAAATTGCACCTCACAATAGGATAGTGATCCTACAGATTGTGGTCATGATGACTTTTCAAATAGTTTCCTTGCTATTATAATGGAAAATCTTTCATAAGCTTTTGAGAAAATTCAGTTTAAAGAAGTGATTTGACAACATTAAAGTCAATCTTAAAATAGAGTTTCAGACTGCCAAATATGTTGAATTTCTGTCATGAACAGCCATCAGCTGTCTGAAGAAAGAGGGCTTAAAACATGAATTAGACATTTATTAAATATGATATCCAAGATAGTTCTACCACCCCTGCCTGGTTATGCTAGAGATAACTGAGATTGGTACCTCCTCAGTGCTATCCCACAGCCTATAACACAGATAATCAATTTTCTTACTGGGTGTTCAAATGTTTCAGCCCAATTACCTTCTCAAACCCACACCTCTCAGACAGGGGAAGTTGGAGACAGCAAAACTTGTCATGGTTCATTTGGGTCTAACAACTGTTTCTTGAGAAGGAAGCACATTACAGTCTCCTCCAAGGCAGGCACCAACCACCCGTTGCTCAGAGAGAATGTCACATGGATTCAACCATGTTTTCTCTCTCACCAACCAGAAAGGTATATGGTAGCTGGGCTAACAGACCCAAAATATATGTTTACTTCTTTGGGAGTTATCACACCCTTCCCAGATGACTGGACAGGGGAAACCTTTACCTTTACTTTTATATATATATATAAATATATATATTTATTCTCAGATAAAGCCATCCAACTAGTCTCATACAACCTGCTGTGCTTTCCCCAGTACTACATTTGGTGCTCTAAGATAATATTCGTCCTTCTTTATTTATTTATTTATTTATTTAAAACAATACATCAAAAAAAAAAGAGAGAAACCTTTACTTTTAATCCCTAACCTAGGCTCATATTAGAGATGCCCAATTGGGTTTACTATTCATCTTTCTCTACTAGCACTTTAGAAGTTCTTGTGGTGTTTCATTTCATGGGGCTCTTTAGAAAACCCAGAGTCAAATGGGATCACTGAAGAGTAGAGGCTAAATAGGGGCAACCCCCAATCCAAGGCCTAGTTATAACCCCATTCCAGCTGCCCAATAATGCCTCAGTAAAACTGCCTACTAGTTCTCCCTCTGAAACTGATCAAGGTCCATTAGTCGCCTAGGGATAGACTGATCAAAGAGGCTAACTTCCCCCTGGTAAGTACGGGACAGCATTAGCAAATCAAACAGCAACCAGACTATAATGACTGCAACATCTCTGATCTGCATTCATCAGTGGTAATTGACAATAACAAAGACTGATGATAAGGTTTGCCATTTTATATCACAACTGCTGATATCACAACTGCCATAAGACAAAAAAAGAAAAAAGAAAGACCCCTCCCCAGATTTTATATGCAACCTCCTATGGGCATCAGGCACTCAGCAATTTGAGTCACATCCACAGTTGCCATGGTGGTCATGAATTCTTGAGCCCCCCCTCATACCATTCAAGAGCATTTAAATAGCTCAGGCAAGGATGTCACTGCTCTCAGCAGGGAAGATAATATCGGTAATAAAACATTTTGAGACCAGTTTCAACTACGGAGTCACCTCACCTCACTCCAGAGTTTGGCTGCTCCCAAACTCAAAACCAAGTGAGCACATCTCATAGAGGAACAGCTAGATAACAGGCCACTGGGGACCTAGTGATAGCAATAGCACTTAGACTTATATACTGCTTCCAAAGCTGACAGCACTCTCTAAGCCATTTACAGAGTCAGCATATTGCCCCCAACAATCTGGGTCCTCATTTTACCAACCTCAGAAGGATGGAAGGCTGAGTCAACCTTGAACCTGGTAAGATTTGAACTGCCAAATTGCAGGCAGCCGGCAGGCAGCAGAAGTAGCCTGCAGTACTGCATTCTAACCACCGCATCACCACAGCTCTGATGGAGCTTTAAAAGTTAATACTAGGGGCAGAAACCAGGATAAGTCACAGATATTAACTGTTTTCCCATGGTGGTCCATCCACAAATCCTTACGAAGTTGTTTTCTATATTTCTATATACCCTAATGTTGGTGCCTGCCTCCCGCCCATCTAAATCTCTCCCAAACCCTCCCAGATCATGAGACACACACCGACTTCACATTCCACTAAATATCCAAATTGCGCACCCAATCTCCATTAGAACACAACACCCCCAAAGCTGTTCCTGCTCAGGAATCCTAGGGAGACCCAGCTATTGTAATTTCCTTAATCACATCTACTTCAACCTTGCTTGCTCCAAACTATCAGAGCCACTTAATGACAATTCTGTTTCCACCTCCCAATTCTCCAGTCCGTTCCAGGGTGTGTTCCAGATTTAATAACTAAGTAGGTGATCCAAGAGCCAATCCTAGCTGTTAATACATTAACATAGATCCTCCAGAGTGATTTTCAGAGACTCGAGCAGACGATCTACATTTGGAAGCCACAAACCTAGGTTATGGTACAGACCATAACACATTATTTGGCAATAACCTGCTCCTACTACCCAGACTTCTCACAACCATTCCTCAGATCATTGTTCTCAGGTCTGCTGAAGGCTATATTTCAGGAGCCCAAATTAAGACTGCTGCAATTCCCAAGCAGGAAAACCTCCAACCAGATCTTCTCTCCTGTGACACCAACAAGCATTCATACATTCTGGGCCAAAGCTCTGCTCAAATCTATGGAGGGAATTGCCTCAGTGCAACCAGCAGGCTGACATGTAACTCCCAGTACTTAAGCAGAATATTGATCTGGTAGCCTTTCTGATCCAATCTCTGGACTGGTTTGAAATAATTTAATGCTCTGTTAGAGCTTGCTCCCACAATACCATTATGATCATTTCAATGATTGACTCAGTTATCTTCATCACTAAATACAATTAATAAGATTCAATTCCCAAGGGGGCATCGCCTTGAAATAACTGTGTGCACACGTGCATGAGTGTGCATTTCTCTCTCCCTCTCTCCTCTGCTCTTCAGTCAGAAAGCATTCAAGAGCAGCTTTCATGTTAATATTATGTCTGCTAGAGCCAAAGCTATGTCAGCAGAAAAATTCCAGAGGTTTCCATTGCCTTCCTTAAGTAGATTAGTTTTCAGCATTCGACAACTGTAGAGCAAGATTTACTTGTTCTAAGAAAAAAAAACAGTTTCTGGCGCTATAGTAATATTGTCAGTATAATAATACAAGAAATACCAGCGTTTTGGATTAAATTAATTCAACTATTATGAGAATGTTTCATTATTTGGGGAATTTTTCTATTTATCAAAATGCCCCTGCCTTTTATTACTATATTGTTATGCTTATAATTTTGTCTCTGTGTTGATTCTTTAATGTGATTTTATGCATTTGAATTTCATTAATTTCCTTGTTGAACAATTATGAGTTTCTTTGCATGCCCATTTCATTCGCTCATTGTTTAAATATTTAAAAGTGTTAATGAAGAATTAACATTACAATTCAGCTGTGACATACTTTCAGGCATTATTACTTTATTCTGAAATTTAAATACAAACTTTTGGGACTGCTGTTAATTTCCTCAGCAATTTAATTTTCTACAGGAATGGAAACTAAGAAAATATTCACAAAATGCTAGGAAGAAAGGTTAGAAAGGGGTACATACAAAAGAAAGAGGGGAAAAAATTACATTTAACTGGAAGTAAGCAAGATGCCCAGTAAAGATGAGTCCCCAATGCCTTGTATCATTTATGTCCCATGACAAGAAAGTAATGTTTGATCTAATAAAGAACAATTTTGCACACAAATAAGTATTCTATGTGAATTCCTGACATACCTGAAAATGCATTCTAAGATATCTGTGCCATAGATTCCATCAAATGAGCTGTATGTAGTAAATAACCCCTTAACTAGAAATATATAATCCAATATATACATACTGGAAGCAGATTCCACTGAATCTAATGGAATTACTGTCTAGTTGACTTTTTTCTCTCTCAGGTCTTTCTAAAGAACTATTGTAAAGAAAATAACAGACCTTGATTAGATCAGTCTGTTCAGTCCAGAGAGTACACTATTCCAAATGTTTCCTTCTTTGTTTTTATAATGTATAATAGCTATTATCAGAAAGCCTTAAAACAGGTGTCCTCAACTCCCAGTCCATGGACTGGCACTGGTCCACTCAAACAAGCAAAGCCCGATCTGTGGGATGCAAGCAGCATGCGAAACCATGCTCCCTCTGGTCCGCAGAAAAACCTCTCCCCATGGAACTGGTCCCTGGTGCCCAAAAGATTGGGGGCCGCTGCCTTAGAAAATGGCATTTCCAACTTTTAAAAAATATAATTATTACTGATATTCCTATCTTTAGTCCCCAACAGGTTGGCAAGCTATTATTTCTAGGAGAGATATTCCAATCCATCTGAAAGGCACTAGATTGCAGAAGGCAACCCTATTATCTTCCCTTTTCTATAGAACACAGTTCCGTGTTAGAAATTACTTGAGAAACTTCCCTATTTTGTTAAAAGCTACTGTTCCAAAATAAATTTAGCGACAGTTTTAGAGATGCACAGATACAAATATATACAGTTAAAATTTTATAACTCTAGCAAGCAGGCTAAGACACATTTCAGAATTGCCAAATTGTTGCTTTATTCACTGGCTTAGGTAGAGTGGAAGTCAAACTTCATCTTCTTTTTGTACCTCCAAAACCTAAGAAAAAGAGATGGAGAAAGAGAAAAAAGCTATTATTAATCAATAGCGAATTCTAAAATACTCTGAATAATGAAATAATAAAGGAGATAAATGCATTCAGCTCTGTGAGCTAGTTTACAAAAATATTTAACCAAGGAAGGGGCAAGGCAAATCAGACAGGGCCTTCATTTTTGTATGGTAAGGTCTGATAGCCTGCGTAGGCACTAAGGAATATAGTATAATTTTGCAAGATGGCACAAGTACTCAATCCTTCAATTAAAAATGACTGAAATATGAGATTGCTAAATCTTGCAAGATTTCAGCACTCTAACCCCCAAATTTTTGGAGTTCTTAAGTAAGAATATTTGTGAATTTCCTCTGGGGGGAGGAAATTATTCTTGCTTAAAGCATTTAAGATATGAATGCATTGCTAATCTCTCCTTTATACTATGCAACCAGAAGATTCTACTGCTGTTTTAGAACACAATATAGTTTATCAGATCATCCAGACCCTAATCCTATTTAGCATTATTGGAAATACATCTTTTGTTTAAATGTTATTATCTAGGAAATGGCTCAGTGATTAAAATAAAATGTCTTGCACTGTAATTTATATAAGAGAACAATCGTACATATGTCTACTCAAAACTTAGAGTCCATCTATTTGTAGGTGGAGGAGAATATGATTGCAGACTCAGGATATATCAGCCCTGCCAAAAATACAATCAACACCTGCACTAGTTTGTCAGGTAAACCCCACCCTTTTTTTTCCTACTAGCTGAATTCTTGGGTTTGACTATAATGCCAGGTAATAGAATTCCATTAGGAAAACAGCTATCTGCCACTAGAGGTAGTCCTCAATTTACAACCATTCATTTAGTGACTGTATGAAATAACGACGACTGTAAAAAAATGACTTATGACCATTTTTCACTTATGACAATTGAAGCATTCCCATGGCCATGTGATCAAAATTTGGGCACTTGGTAGCTGCCATGTATTTATGCACTGTCCCAGGGACATGTGATCACCATCTGTAACCTTCCCAGGTGGCTTCCGACAAGCAAAATCAATGGGGGAGGCCAGATTCTCTTAACAACCTCGTGATTCACTTAACAGTTGCAGTGATTTGCTTAACAACTGTGGCAAAAAGGTTGTAAAATATGGCACAACTCATTTAACAACTCTCTTGCTTAGCAATGGAAATTTTGAGCTTAACTGTGGTCGCAATCGAGGACTTTCTTGAATGGGGAGATGTGCTCAAATCTGAAATCTGGATGAGGCAGAATATGAAATCCCTCTCCTCCAGTAAGTTTTACATGAATGGTTGCAAAATAAACAAATGCAGACCTAAGCATTTGTTTATTATTTACCAAATTTGTAAGGTGACCCAATCTGCATGATTCTGGGTAGTTTAAAAAATACAACAGTAGGAACTATAAAAATGTAAAATATATAATCCATTAAAAAAAAAGTCCAGAGAAAATAATTAACAGCTGAAAGATTCCACAAGGGCTCTAACACACATTCTAACCTAGGGCCTGGAGAGAGAACCAGATTTTTAGGAATCATTAAAACACTGCCAGGATGGGGGCTATGAAAAACCTGCAACACAAGAGTAATAAAAGAAAATATTTTTATTTCAATAAAAGCAAAAATTATAGTAGAAATTTGAGAGAATAGTTTAACTGTAGCAATTATACAAGGGTGAGATCTGCATTCCAAAACTAGCATTCAATAATCTGTAAATAGTTTAACCAAACAAGAAAAATAGTGGATCGGAGCAAATACAAAACTGGAGAAATTGAGCAAACTGCACTAAACAGAAATAAAAACCAACTTCCATATGAATAAACCTTGCCTGCCAACCTTTATATTACCAGAGTTTTCAAAGTTTACGCTTGAATCCTGAAACTAAAATCCCTTTTCTTCAGATAACTGCTCCTCTGAGAACAAAATAAATGTCTTAGTTTCTCTGCCTTGAATCTCATCCTCTTCATTCTTATTGGAAGACACAACGAATACTTTAAAAATCTCCCAGCTAGCTGGCAGGAAATGTAAGAGCCTCCAATTATGAATTGTTTACTGGCCACTCAAAATTGTTAAGTCCTACTAATACACCCCAAGGGGTGGGTTCTAAATTTTTTTACTACCGGTTCTGTGGGTGCAGCTTGGTGGGTGGGTGGGTGGGTAATGTGACTGGGTGGGCGTGGCCAACTTTTTTTTTTTTACTTTTAAAAGCATTTTTTCTACAACCTTAAGAGGTTGCAGAAAAAAATGCTTTTAGAAGCCTCTGAAGATCCCAGCTGAGCTGTGCAATCATCAGAGGATTTTTTTTTTACTTTTAAAAGCATTTTTTCGGCCGAAGAGGTTGTAGAAAAAATGCTTTTAAAAGTAAAAAAAACATAAAGCTTCTGATGAGGTGGGGGGGGGTAAGCAGCGGCGACCTGGCCAGGGATTGGTTCGGGGTTGTGGCCAGCCAATGTTATTACCGGTTCTCCGAACTACTAGAAATTTTTACTACCGGTTCTTGTGAACCGGTGCAAACCGGGAGCTGTCTAAAATTTTGCACTGGGAAATTTCAGGTACTATATACCTGAAAGATCCAATCACAAAAATCAACTTCCAAGCGATCACTGCTTGTTGGAGATGATTGCTTAATGAACCAAGTTCCATTCTCTAACTAGGAGTTCCTAAACTTTTTGCCATCACATCTACTTTGTGTATTCTTAATGTACACACCTCCCCTAAAACTTCAAACATTACAAGGAACACAAATGAACAATAAAAAGAATACCATGAAACTTTGAGAAAAGTGAATTTTTTGAAAAATGTACAATTGAAAGGTTACTCGCATTTCCCTTGGACTCTGCACATCCACAAGGGAGATATACCTCAGTTTGGAAAATCCTGATCTACAAGATGATTTGCGTATCTGTGCAAATCTGCTTCTGAGATATCAAAGAAGCAGTACAGTTTAATTCAGAAATCTTTCTGCTGTTAAACTACTTAATTATTATTCGAGTATGAACTTAAAATCACCCAAAGATCTATTAGTAGATCCTGATCTCCCTTTTACTCATCATTTTTGAAACATGTTACAATTCAACACAGCCTAAAAAATTTAGCAGCAAATAACCCCCTCCCCCCAAAAAACCAGACCATAGTAATGGTAGAGTTTCATCTGAAGAAAGTCATTGTTAACTGATTTTCTTAACAATTAACTAAATATAGGATACTTTTTGAAACTGATATTGTACTCCAGCTGTACACCAAACATCTATATATGGGAATGAATTATGTATTCATATAATAAAGTACTAAAACCGGTTTCATACTATATTTCCATTTCAAAACAAAGAAAAGATTTACAGACCACATGTAGATCCCCTACCACAATGAGAACTAGATATAAGTCTGATTAAAATCAGTGGGAAAAGTTTATTTATTAAATTTATATGCCACCTGTATAATTACCCAGAGTGACTCTGGGCAGCTTACAATGGCATAAAAGCATAAATATAAAAGCATGGAAAACAATTAAATAAAAGAGTATAAACCAAAATTTGCTATCATTAATCCAAATCCAACTCTTTTCAATAGGATTTTTTAAATTGGAAAGTTGCTGATATCGGTCACAGATAACACAAAAATTAAGGACAACATGGCTTATAACTTACCAGAGGTGGCTTTTGTTTCTGACCTGTAAGATGATGAACAGCTATTTGAATTGCCAAATGAACCAGTAAATGGAGGTGGAGCAGATGGACCAGCCCACGTGCTATAATAAGGAGAATACCTGTGATCTGAAGGTGACCTAGAAGAAAATGTTTAGTTTTAGTGTTTTTGCATTTGTACAAAATTAAAATTTTAATAGATGAATAATCTAGAAAAGAAGTAGAAAGCCATTTAAGGCAAAGTTGCTCTTTAGTGATCAGCAAGTAATCATAGAACAAATATGTAAATAATTGGAATATATTCAATTATTCCAACAAACTGAGGATATCTCTTCAGTAAGTTTTAGTTCTATTTCTATTTAAGAAGGAATATTTGCAAGAAACACATTGATTTACCATTAAGGTATGTATTGCTATTAGGAAAAATTTAACAAGATTTTAAATTTTAAAAAATGTGGTCGGAACGTCATACAATTTCAGTACAAAAGTCATACAGCTGCATAATATATGCAAAAAGCTAAAAAAAAACTTTTTAAAAAGTCCATTAAATATAAAAAAGTCAGAATCCAGTGGTTTTGGATGAATATACAGGAGAATTATCAGTGAAGAACTGGGGGGGTTATTAGAGACGGACAACTTTGAAAGTAAGTTATAAAAGCCAAATTCAATGTGGAAAATAAATAGTTAATAAGAAAGACGTGATTATATTTGTATACAGAAATTTTGGAGACAACAAAAGTAAAATATAGAGAAGTGAGAATCTATTTAATAACATAAAAATAACCAAATTAAGCCTTTAATTCTTATATTTATCAAAATACTGACACTCTTCCATTATAACCATTATTATTAAAAGACAAACAAGGGTTTAGAAAAACCTGTGATTTGAAAAATAGGTACTACTGAAGTAGTGACCTTAAAATTGACATCTGTTTATATCTTTGTTCTCTGGAAACTGCTGCTGGTATTTTTAACTGCTGCTTGTATTTTTACAGGAGTTTCTTCCCTAATGATGCAATATTAAGCAACTACAGGGCATAACTGTAAGTGTATTGCATGAGTCAATGACAGCTGTTTTATTTTACAAATCAATCCATTTATCACCATTTACTGCTGGATTCTGAATTCCATGTATTCTGACAAACAACCTGCTTCTTCAGTGTTTTTCATTTATTCTAAAAAAAAATCCCTAGAGATATCTAACAATTGGACAACTATTAAAAAACTTTAATAGGCAAAAAAATTCTTATCCTAAAATAAGGATGCTAGGTCACCAATTCACCTTTGTATCTGGCATTACTCATTAATGCTGACTGCAGCAGTGATGAGTGGGATAACTATTTCTCAAAACATTCATACTCTATTGTTTTTTAAAAAATCAAAATGTAAATTAGTATGAAAGAAAAAATATTTTTCTTTGGGAGAAGCAATTCCCTTTCTGTCAATTAGGATTGTTGCACGAGAAGACAAAATTACCTTCGGTTGCCAAACAAGTATCCAAGAAGTCCTCCGGCACCTAATCCAGTCCAGAAACCTGGCCCTGAATTGGAATCATAGCTGGACCCACTAGCAGCTCCTTAATTTAAATAAAATTATATCGATTTAGATCAAATAATCGTTGTGATCAGCAAATAATTGAAGAGTCTTACAAGCTTTAAATCAAACATTGCTGTATAATGCTATGGAACTATTGATTTTACTGGAGAAACAGACCATAGGCTATCACTTTTAATCCCCTTATAAAAGGTGTATTTCCTAAACTTTAGACTAAAGGACCAACTCAGAAACAGAAGAAGTTCTTATTTTAATCGTTTTAATTTCTGCCAACTATATAAACAAGAGCATAGGCTAGACATGACACAAAATTCTGTAGGAAATTCAGTGACCCGATTAACAATTATAATTAACAATGAATGAACTTCCTAGAATTTGAAAAGTAGATTACCTATCAATGTTACTAATAAATGTTTTTGTTGTGACATAAGAGATTTACCTGTGTAATTTGATTTAAATCCTGTTGGAGGTGGGCTTTGATAACTTTGCCCATAGGATCCTGAATGTACATCATCATTAGGGAAATTATGTTGTCGGTTATCACAGAGGAATAGCTTGTAGATGCCAAAAACAAATACAATGAATAATATTACCAGGATCACTCCAAATCCGGAACCAAATGACTCATGAGAAGTTGCAGAATAATAGGTCCCAGAAAAGGTGTTAGCTTTTTGCTGTCCTTCCTTAGTTAACTCTAATGTGTATTCCAAGCCACAGGATCCTTTTAAAATGAAAGGGTCATCTGGGTAATCGTAGCCTTCACAGCTTACTTCAATTTTTCCAAAGCGATATGAAACATCCAAATGTGCTTTACATTCCCACTGCAAATAAAAGAGAATTATTTTTCTACAATAAAATATATAACAAAATTGAACATTGACTTAAAATGGGTATGTTTTTAGTAATTTTATTAAAATACAATACAACCTTTTCACCAAAAAGTTCTAATTAAACTTATAAGTAAGCTTTAAAACTCTTAATAGAGCTTGAAAGAATGCACATGAAAATACTGCCGGACAAGAATGTTAAATGACAAACTTGTTAAAGTTGTTTAGAAGGAATATGGATTTACTTTAATTTTTTCTCCTGTTGGCAATGTTGCAGCCCCACTCATTGCATCCTCCTGGAGTTTAACAGTTTTGCCTTGATGTATATAATTGTTCTTCTATCTTCAAAAGCCAGCCATTTAATTAATTTTACATTTATACAAATACACTCTACAAGATAAAATATTTTCCTTCATACAAAGAAATATACCTGCACATCGTAGCCGTCCCAACCTTTGTTGTAACACTGAACAACCTCAGGGGTATATGATGTACATCCAGCGGAGCCTCCGGTACATTGCAACTGGGGCACTGGAGATGTTCTCCGATAATTTGTGTATTTTCCCCGATACAGTGTCAGGGCTTGGACCTCCCGCAATAGGACTCTCTCTGACAGAATATAAGTTATGTAATAGATTTAGAAACACTATGCAAGATAATAAATACATATTTTAGGATTTTGCGAGTTTATTAATGCCAATAAAGAAATTCTCAGAATAAATCTTGTTAGGTTGTATATTTGGATTATATAGAAGTAGTAATCTCAAAAGGTGCTTTAATAAAGAATATATCTAAGATTAATGTTAACATCTATGCTCTCTAATTTTGCTTTATTTGTTCACCAATTATCCCATTTTATCAAGTAGTCAACGACAAGTTTTCAGAACTTCACAAGCAATACATAGGTACCTCTCCCTGTTTCTTTAGTATATAATATTCAAGAATTTGTGAGCAAAGAGCTTCAATTTGCTCCCCAATGTCCTATGCAATTATTTAGGAAAACATCCTCAATAGTGACTGGATTCCCACAAATCATGGTTTCTTTCAAATCTATTTTACAGAATAAACCACAAGAACAGTATTGGCGAAACCCTAAATCACTTTTTACACCATCCCAGTGACCATATTTACACATTGCACTAGGTCAAGCTCACATCATTCACACCTGTTATAACCTGTGATAAACCCATTGATTCTGGGAAGCACACAACAGAGTACAAATAAAAACAAAAAGGCAGACGTCAGTTGATCAACATCTCCTGCAATGGTGACCTGAAACATTTAATTCTGTTAAAAACCCGTTGCAGGGTGGGGGAGGTGTTTACGGATGAATGGGACCTCTGAACCCAACCAGTGTCGTCGAAGAAACCTGCCGCGTTTGGTTACGACTGACAATTGCTACAAATGGCTTCTTAAATGTCTTCCTAATAAGGCCGACGCCCGTCAGTACATCGCATAAAAAGCCGCGCGGGGACTCAGGAAATGGCCCTCACTCCCCCAGAAAAGATGCTGTTTCCGGGGCGAAAACCCTCTGAACCAGAGACACCAGCGTCAAGTCACTGACGCGGAGGGCCACGACTCCTCCCCGACCGTCGTGAACCGAGAGGCAGGTTTCCTAAAGGGGAAAGCCCGATGAACCCGTTCCTCGCCTTACCCGGCTGCTCCCAGCCCATCGCTAAAGACGTTGCCGTCAGCACCACCAACAGCGGCAAAAGCAGCCGCTCCACAGACGCCTCCATTTTAGCCCTTTGACTGAGAAACGAAGCGCTAGCGCTCCAGCCTTTTCCGCCTATGGCAACGGGCCTCGAGGCTCCGCCCCTCGCCGACACTGATTGGCTCTTCGGATTGCCTTTCTAAAGGCAAGCGATCGTTTCGTCAGCTGGCGATAAAGCCCGGCGGCGCCATCTCCAGAGAGGCGGAGTTCGGTCGCTTGAGTGTCTACAGAACGGAAGGAAATCTTCTCGGGACAATGGAATGGTAGGAGGGCCTCGCTCTCATCCAGCCGTCCTATTGGCTCACGGGCGCCGCGCAGGAAAGTCAGCATAACAAAACAATCTATGTACGCTCAGAACAACCAATGGAGTTGTTAATGGATGATTAGCGTCGGTTTGTCCTCTTCCGGTGAAGACTCATCGGCAGCAAAGAATGACTTTGACTTCAGAGTATTGTACGCCGCTCAGAGTCGCTACTGGTGGGATGGGCGATTGTATAAATAAACAAATAAATCTGTGTTGCGCTTCTGAAAACAAGCTCGTTTTTCTAAGAGTATTCTAGGTTGTTCTCTGTACACAAACAAGAAAATCTTTCCACTTCTTAAATTACCAAATGCTTTGTGGCAGAAAAATTAGCCACAACCAGAATCAAGAATAAGATTTCAATTGCTAAATAGGTAGGAAAAATCGATCTTGTACTTGTTTAACAGCCGCCCGATTTCAGTTTGTTGAATGAACAAAAGCTGTATACTTTGAAATGCTTCCTATCATGTAATAGATTACTTCTGAGTGAAAGAACATTGCATTTTAAATCATATTTCTTATATATATTGCAATCTTTATAATCACTCCAATTCCAACGTCTGACCAGGATACAAAAAAGTGCAAAAGACAAAACCAAAGTTAATTATAATTAGTTAACAGCTAATTATAATTAAAAGCCATTAGTGAACATCATTGTTGCCCTTAAAATTAAACCTAGGACTACGTGGGATCAGATTATTGCTGTTTTTAATCTGAGGTATGCATATTCCCTTGCAACTAGTGTAAGCATAATTGAGCTTTTTGGACTTCTGAAAAAATAAAGATCTTTCTAGCACAAATGCAGGTCCACTTATCACCCAGGCCTGATGTTATGAGTTGAAAGACTGACTAGTCACTAGTCCAAAGGCAGATTTCATGACTAACAATGTGGGACTAGAACTCACAGTCACCTGATTTTTAGCCTAGTGCCTTAGCCACTAGGCCAAACTGATTGAAAACTGGGATAATCATTAAATGAAAGCAACAGGTTAGAATTTTCTGAATTTGTTTGCTGACATCTAGTTATCTGAATGTTTCTATCCCAGACCTCATAGCCCTAGTAAATGTTTTGAAACTTTCTATCATAAGAACTGTGCTTACCTTAAAAAAAAAAAGTGGATAAATTTCAAATAGCATTTTAACCAAGTTTGCTGCTTGATGTGTCCTCTGAAGCTGAAATGGAAACTATTTGGAATAAAATGAGTTATCCAAGCTTTTTAATTTGTGTGTCATGCAAACTCTGCTACTATGACTTGAAATATAATAACGTAATTATTGCAAGCAGAAAATTCAGTTCACATAAGAGGGAACCAGGGATGAAATCCAGCAGGTTTTGACAGGTTCTGGAGAACCGGTAGCGGAAATTCTGAGTGGTTCAGGGAACCAGTAGTGGAAATTTTTAGTAGTTCGGAGAACTGGCAAATACCACCTCTGGCTGGCCCCAGAGTGGGGTAGGAATGGAGATTGCGCAATATCCTTTCCCCAGGAGTGGAAAGGGAATGGGATTTTGCAGTATTCTTCCTCTGGAGTGGGGAGGGAATGGAGATTTTGCAGTATTCTCCTGCCACGCCTGCCAAGCCATGCCCACCAAGTCACACTCACAGAACCGGTAGTAAAAATATTTGGATTTCACCACTGGAGGGAACTGATTCTTTTAAAAATAGATATGATATATATAGCCTTCCAATTTAGTCCCATGGTATGTATTTTTGTTTTGCTTAAAATTTTTCAATACATGTATAGTTTTAAGGCTTCGCAGTAGATGTTACAAAGTTGGGTTTGAAACTCTTAAAAATAAATAACTATATCTTCACTGTTTATTTTACTCTAAATTATGAGTTATACCATTTATATGCTGATCTCTATTACAAAGTAAGAATTTGGGATTATCCTTAGAAATTAAATGAAGAGAAATTTAGGTTGATAAATGATCTTTATATAATAGAATTAAATGATGGGTTTGTTGCCATTGTGGTGCACATCACCAATTTGGATGGATTTCAAAGGGGATCAAACGTACTAATGAAAGACTGTAATATTTAATTTTTGCCCTACTTTTAGTTTAATCAACTTAAGGTGCAGCATACAAACCTAATGTTCCTGCCTTTTTATGTTTTGCGAAATAGCCATCTGTGAGGTTGGCTGAGCAGAGAAAAAGAGACTGCCCCAAAAACACTACACCCATGACAATTGGTTATTAAAATGTTCACTGTTTGCGGCATCCATGAATGACAATTATTACTTGTGAGCTTCATGAATGCATCTGGCCATGTTTTGTGTGACACAGAATGGTAAAGTAGGTGGACTACAGAGTTCTTATATATTTTTCAAAATTGCTCTCCTTTAGTCACAATGATTTTCAGTATTTTACTATTTCGACTCATATATTTACATAACATTGATAACACTTTCTCAAAACAAATCTTAATATTTTCTTAGCACTTATTTCTGAACATAATTACAACACTTAGATAATTTATTAAAATATGAAAATTATTTCTGTATACTGAATCTGTATAGATAACTCCCCAGATTTTGTGCTTTCTAGACCAATTAGAATCAGTAAAGGAGAATAAGCAGTATTCTAAATAATTGCTGAATCTGGAACTTTCTAGATAAAATAGATATGTGTGCTTGTACAATTAATCAGGCTTTCCGAACATACAAAAAATATTAGTTTGGGAAGATTAACAGAAGTAATTAAAATAATTCTGGTGTCATCTTGTGTCTGCAAACAAGGTAAGCAGGTGGATCAACCATAACTTCTATTTAACGATATCTGGCTGTTAATTGTGCTAATTCATTGTTTTGCAATAAAAAAGCAGAAAAAAAACCCTTTAACCATTCAGGCTGTTTATAAAATGACTGCAACTATACAAGTGCATTAATATATAGCAAATCACTAATGAAATCACTCTTACAGTTCAATAATAGTAAATAAACTTTCCACAACTATTTTGGGATAAATTTGTCTCTATAGTCAAGATTCAGTAAAATTTAAAGACCTAATTAACTTTTTATTGAAATAAAAAGCCTTTAATGTTAACAAAGATTGAAAGAAAGAGAAGATAACCAGGACTCTTACAGTGTCAATGAGTGATCCATTGGAAGCCTTGAAAGAACAAGTTAAGAGACAGATCTTCATGAAGCAAATTTACGTGGTCACTAAGAGTTGAAAATGACTTGATGGCATATAATCAATCATCAATGGATCTTCCTTCATTTTTTAGTTTTTTTTCTCCCCATGTTTTGTTTTAATCATGGTAAAGTAAATAGGTTTTTGTCCCAAAGGTGCTTTTTCAAAAGGGAACTGGACTTTGTTTTTCTTTGAAGATGTTTCACTTCTCATCCAAGAAGCTTCTTCAGCTTTGACAGGATAGTGGGGAATGGAAGGATTTATATTCCTTGCAGACAGCTGGTCATTTGCATCCTGCTTTGAGCTGAAGAAGCTTCTTGGATGTGAAGTGAAACGTCTTCAGAGAAAAAACCAGAAAGTCCAGTTGCCTCTTGAAAAAGCACCTTTGGGACAACCATGACCTGGATGACTGAGAATCTCCATAGATAAATAGGTTCTTGTTGCGACTTTTATTGCCGAGTGAAGGCGGCAGCAACTAGACCCGTCCGCTACTGTCCCAATATTTTTCTTCTGTTTTGGAAAACAGCTCTTCCCTGGGGAAGGAAAACAGGACACAAACATGAAGCTTTGCCTTATGTTCCGAAGTTACGTCCGCCGCTTCGGAGATCGCGATTCGTCGGAAGTATTGCCCGTGTCTCGAGCGCGCACTTCCGGGGCTTGTCTTCCTTCCCCTTGGTGTTGGTTGGGAGCGGCCTGGGCGAAGTAATACTGTAGCAGCACCATGGCCGGCATCAAAGGTAGCCTTGTTGGGTTGATTTCGGGGAAGGGCACGGGGAGGAGGGGAGCTACTTGGGGACCGGATCCCCCCACCCAGATCAGGCCGTTGGTGGAGGGGAGGGACGTCGCCCCCACCCTGACGATGACGCACGCCGGCAATGTAGGGGGGGAGCGCTGCGTTTCCATGACAACGCAGCCTGCCCCTGTGCAATGGCTGCGCCGCTGAGGTTTGAAAGAGGGCCTGTGGAGAGCCCCCTATTGTCTCCTTTTCCCTACCTCTGCTCGATCAGACACAGGGCTCGGCGCTGCTTGACTAGGCAACCGCCGCAGGGCAGCCTTGAAAAGCACAGTGAGGCCTGTGTTTTTCACTGGACTCAACTTTCAGGCTATTAGGTCTAGGATGGCAGCTCTAGATGGCCGTGTTGCACATAAAATATACGTGATTATTAGTCCTGGCGGCTTGCATAAAACTTCCGGCTGCAGAGATCTATGAGTGCTCAGATAGCGGCATACAGGAAGGGTGTCTTAGTTGATGGGCGGAAATTAGGACAGGAATGAAATCTTAGGCTCCACGAGACTTCACTAAATTCATGCTCTCCAGCAATATTCGAGTGCGGTCCCCGTTCTTCATCTGTCTGAATGTAGATCCTTATGTACTCATTCTTGCAGCATTCTTAAGATGAAACTGATTTTTAGTGGAATAAGCCTGACAGGAAGAGAATAAAGTCCTGACACAGTAGATCAATGCAATGCATATTAATCTTTGTGAAATAGACTTAATACCACTACTCTTGTAGAGTTTTTCACCATTCAGAAGTCTCTAATAATACTAAATAAGTACTGTATGTATATGTTGGAACTGCATATCTTTTACAGATCGGTTTGATAGAAATATCTATTTTGTATTAAAAACGAGTAAAAAGACAGCACTACTGTACATTTAATAACTATATATATGTGCATGTGTGTATATGTATGTATGTATGTATACAGATGTTGAACCTTTATCTTTGTTTGATGTGTTTCAATCATTAACCATATCTATGAATACCCATAGCAGTATTTGTGGGTATTTTATATTTTTATTTTCCATGCATGCATGGAAAAAGGCTGAAATATGTATGCTCCATAGCAATTTAGGGGGATATTACAAGGAGGACCATAAAAATAACAATGTGACAAGTTGAGGTGCTATTTATAATAGTAATAATAAAGTTTGGTTAGTGTACGTGGCAGAACCTGAAGATAGCAGAATGGAACAGAAAGAATTGGAGAAAATCACAAAATACTGAAACCTGCAAATCAAAATAAAACGACTGTGACAAAAGAAAGTAAAATGCCAATAGTAATACATAATAATGAAATCCCAAAACAACCAGAGCACCACTTGAACAAGGGCAGCTTTATACTTGGAACACCTTGCATCCTGCTATGATACCTTTAACATAATCAGACATCAACATCTACGTATCTCAGGCCCATGTGAAGTACTTGGTAGGTGAATAAAAATGCCAAATCCAGTCTAAACACCTGGCTGACTGTGCAACCAACCATAATAAAATATACAGTATGGAAGCTGCCATGTCTTCAACTGGTTTTGATCTTCATATACATTGGGTTCTTCCCAAGAACCTAGGATGTTGTAATGTATTGGCATCCTATATGTGCAGTTCCAAGCAGCATGGCTTATTGTAATTGACAGGTGGAAATTTTGTTAGTGCACAAATTTACCAAGTCCTGGCAAAGAGTTTTTGATATGGCATCCAGTCTGTCGATAACTACTAAATATTTATACCATAATGTTTCAATTTTCAGATCTTGATACTTTGTGATCTTCTCCAGTTCTTTGTCTTCTACTATCCCCTGATATTGCCACATCAATTATCCACATTTTCCGCTTTTCAACAACAGTTATATCTGGTGGGTTATGAGCCTATTATTATATATACACAACAACATGAAATCACAGCTGCCAATTTTTTAGCTGGGTTTTCATATACATCATCATTATGGTTGATTGCACAGTCAGCCAGATGTTGAGGCTGGATTTGGCTTTTTTATCCACTTTATTGAATCCTATTCAAGAATTTGTGATAGGCAAATCTATCTATCTATCTATCTATCTATCTATCTATCTATCTATCTATCTATCTATCTATCTATCATCTATCTATCTATCTATCTATCTATCTATCTATCTATCTATCTATCTACCTACCTACCTACCTACCTAGCTACCTACCTAGCTACCTACCTAGCTACCTACCTGTTTGATGCCATTAAAGGTATTGTTATTATTATGGTTTGTCACACAGTCGCCCAGATGTTTAGACTGGATTTGGCATTTTTATCCACCTATTTATCCCTTCCCAAGGACTTATATAAGCATATATTGTTTATTATTATTTATATACCAATAAGCTACTTCACTGAATTATAAAGATAATTGAAGTAATGCCTGTAAAATCATCTTATCGGGCAGTGTTTCCTGTCATATGTTTATTGTTCAAAGAGAAAAAGGCTGTTTTGGCAAAAGAACTTTAGTCAGGAGTGACATAATAGTACCAGGCAAAACTTGCTAGAGACCAGTTTCAAAGCTGGTGGGAATTGGATGCTGAGTGGGTGGAAATACATCAGACATTTGAATGAGCATACTTTGGCAAAAAAAATCTTTTTTTAACCAATGTGAGAGCCAGTTTGGTCTAGTGATTAAGGCACCAGGCTAGAAACCAGGAGACCGTGTGTTCTAGTCCTGCCTTACACATGAAAGCTGGTTGTGTGACTGAGCCAGTGACACTCTCTCAGCCCAGCCCAACTTACAGGATTGTTATGGGGAAAATTGGAAGAAGAAGGAGAAACATTAAAGTAAAACTGGTCATAAATATTTGATTATCGAACAGCAAGGTTACAGTTAATGTGACTAAAACATAATACTGTCCTTACCTCAGAGATTAGTCACATAAATGTTAGTGGCTCCAAGATCTTGCTTCCTCTATAAATTCATAAAGGCAATTCAGTTTTTCTCAATATACCATGACCTCCTATCTTTATAACAGCAATACAAAGATGATTCAGGTATTTTCTATAAAGTCTTTTTAACATCAGTGAAAAGTTTTTTTTAAATTTTCCTGTGTTCACGATACTTAATGCAATATCAGTTAATACACTATTAATGTCCTGACTTTCCTCTTGAAAATCTGCAGCAATAATACCGTGTTTCTCCGAAAAAAAGACCCTGTGTTATATATTTTTGAACCCTGAAATAAGCGCTTGGCCTTATTGCCATGCACTCAAAAGCCCAATTGGGCTTATTATCAGGGGATGTCTTATTTTGGGGGAAACACAGTATAAATAATTGTAAAACCTGTGGCAACTTGGCAGAAAGAGACAAATTAAAAAAAGGAATAGTCAGAAAATCAGTTATCAATAGCAGTGCCATATAGTTACAAAGCATAAACATGCATATATAAATATATATATAAGCTCTTTTTCATTTTATGGAATCATTACATATATGAACATAAATGTAATATAGAAAATTTATAATATAATTTATAAAAATTTATAATGTATAAATTAATATATATATTTCTAAATTAAGATAAGGGTATTTTACATTGAATGTTTCACATTTCCTCCAAGTTCATTGGAGTTTTATGGTAAAAATATAAGTGTTCTGTATTTTAATTATGCACAATAGTTGAACAAGAAGTAATTCGTTCAAAAACAGAAACAAAATATTGATTTCTCTCTTTCCTATATTTAGTGTTTATTGAAGCAAAACCATACAGTTTTGTAACTGACAAGGGTTTACATCTGCCTTTACAGCTTTAATCAGCTTATCTTTTGGAGGAGCTGTTGGACTAATGTTCCTGATGCTTGGTTGTGCCCTTCCAGATTACAGGTATCACACAATATTTCCTTGTTTCTTCTTGCAGTTTATAAAATTAAATAAACAGAGAATACCTGTGCTGATTTCAGTAAAGGTCCAGCAGCCCTCTAATGCTGGGAGAGAGTAAAAGAAAGCAATTTTTCCAAGCTAAGAATAGCCATTTTAAACATTCTATGAAATTGTTTTGTTTTGTTTGTGTTTACTGCTTTTCAGCCTAAAGTAAAGTAATACCTTGGTACTCATAATTAATTGGCTCTGAGAGGCACTATGAATACCAAACAAATTTTCCCATAAGGAATAATGTAGTGAATCACAAGGCAGCTGACACCGAAAGTTCTAGCTTGTGCGTTGAGTACCAAACAAATGATGAGTACCAGGACAAAATGTTCACATCAAAATGCATTGAATACCAAATTCAGTAAGTTTCAAAGCAGTTGAGTATCAAGGTACCATGTATCTTCCAGGTTGGCATGTAACAAACACATCTTTTCAAGACTTACAATAAAAGTGACAACAGAATTTCAGTCTGTTTTATAATTTTCAGCCTGATTTATATTCAGATGGAAGTATTTGGAAGTACAATATTTTATTCCTACTACTTTTAATTAATCACTTCTCCTGTTCTGATTGAGGGACACTTAAAGGATTATCTTCTGATTAGATTTCAGGCTAACACAATGTATTACACTTGCCTGCCAAAATCTGTCTATTCAATTTCTTGTTTGTGCTCTCTGTACAGTACTACCTGGGGATTCTTCACCTATGGAGAACCTATTCCAAAAAGCTACTACAACTTGATTAGCAATATAGGTGGAGAGTCCTGTCCCTAGCCATCTGTTACATACGTCATGCTGTGTATTGTCTTTGTGTGGCATTTTCGACTGTCATAAGAAAAAGTATTTTTAAAATTGGACAAAACAAGATAACACCTTTTCTCCACATACACACATATACACACCCAATGGGAAAATAGATAAAATATTTACATAAGAGTAGTATGATTTTTGAAGCAAATATAAGTGAAAGAATATCTATAAAATAAAAACACGCCTTTTTATTTACTTTCAGCAAATATTGGCCACTGTTTGTTTTGTTCTTCTACACCCTCTCTCCAATTCCATACTGCATAGCAAGAAGAGTTGTTGAAGATACAGATGCTACAAGTAATGCTTGCAAGGAACTTGCCATATTTCTTACAACAGGCATTGTTGTTTCAGCATTTGGACTTCCAATTGTATTTGCCAGAGCAGAACTGGTTAGTAATTCCTTCTTTTTAGCAGTTTTCCTTTAATGTTTGATACTTGCTTTCAGAATAAGATACAGAAGTCTGTGGAGATTCTCAGTCATCAAGGTCACAGTTGTCTCAAAGGGTTTTTTTTCCCCAAAAGGCAACTGAACTGTTTTTTTCTTGAGGAAGACATTTCACTTCTCATTCAAGATGCTTCATTGATCCAGAACTGATGAAGCTTCTTGGATGAGAAACAAAACGTCTTTCTCAAAGACAAAACAGTCCAGCTGCCTTTTGAAAAAAACACCTTTGAGACAAGATGCAGAAGCCTTCAAAGCACAAGTTAACAAGATATTGTTAACACATGCAAACTGTCATTAAGCTAGCGAGCCTGGTGGCGCAGCAGACTAAAGCACTGTTATTAACAGTTATTAACATCAGCTGCCTGCAATTACTGCAAGTTCAAATCTCACCAGGCTCAAGGTTGACTCAGCCTTCCATCCTTTCTAAGGTAGGTAAAATGAGGACCCAGATTGTGGGGGCAATAAGCTGACTTTTTATAAAAATATACAAAAGTATGAAGACTATTGCTTAACACATTGTAAGCCGCCCTGAGTCTCCGGAGAAGGGCAACATATACATTATTTTTTTTTTTAAAAAAAAGCATTGTGATGGGGAAAAAAACCTTGAAAGTTCCCCAGATTAACATTTTATATATCCTTTGATACATAACATTCAGTCACTGGATGTTGGGCACCACCTGGTAAAAATAGTTTGAGGGTATTGAAATTCAGAGGGTACCAAGTTGTTTGCCTTCCACTAGGCAACTAAGTCTAAGTGTTAACAAATACTGTAATTTAAAAATTGCATTAAATAGAACTACTTTGTGAAAGGATGGTGTTTTCCCCATTCACTGAGCAATTAATGCATGTTGTATTTTTTTGTGTATGTAAAACTTGTCTTTCCTTTTTCCATAGATTAAGTGGGGTGCCTGCGCACTTGTCCTCACAGGAAACACAGTCATATTTGCTACCATCCTAGGGTTTTTCTTGGTTTTTGGCAGCAATGATGATTTCAGCTGGCAACAGTGGTGAAAAGAGTTGGAGTGAGAACTATCTACATCTCATGTCATTCAGTGGCCATCCATACTCAAGAAAGAATGGGCAATAAAGTGAATGTACTGTTTTCACAGAGGGGATCTGGGGTAGGACACTTGGTAGCCACTTTTCTTTTTTCACAAAGAACATTAACATTTTGCTTGATTTACAGGTAAATATTTTTAACAGGTTGATACTGTTTTATTTTAATACTTTATTTTGATGTGAGAACAGAATGCTTAAATGTGATGTTTAAAATGTATCTTTTTTAAAGAACATGACAGCGGTGTATAAATATAAAGTCAAACTTTTCACCATTGATTATTTTAAAACTAATGTGTGGTTGTGAAACCACATAAGAATGAAAAAACCAAGAATGGCCCAATCCAGTCAAAAGTATGAAAATTTTGACTGGGTCATAGGCACGGGTTTGGAAGTAGCTTCTGAATTCAGCAAAGATTATGGTTATGCAGAGAATTGTACATATGGCCTGTTGATTTTAATCAGAGAATTATTCAGTACTCTAATTCTTCTCTGAAAATAAGTATAATTCTGGAAAGCTGAAGTGTGCCCTTCAAGAGCAGTGAAGCATTTGTTGTGGGATTTTGGAAAAGAACTGAAAAGAATAGCATTCACAGCAGCTGGCTGGTAGGTTTTTTTATTATGTACGTGACTGAAAATGTTCTATTTCCATTAATTCCATTTAAATGAGAATGAGCAAACTTTTGATGATAATGGAATATCTAAGTGTTCATTACTTTAAAAGTTTGTCCAACGTACAAATATTTTGACAGTTTTTATTTTTGATTATCTGAAGGGGGGGAGATGGAATTTTAATTTTTCTTGAGTAGAAGACAGAACATTTAATGTTCATTTTAAAGCCTTTCTGAAAACTCTGTATTTATGTATTGTGTGATTCAACATTCTATATCAATTGTTTTTTATGTTTTACCAAAGGAAAGTGTAACGAAATTACTGAGTATAGTTATAACCAGCAGAAGGAAACCCTGCACCAGGCATGTGGAAATAAGTGGTCCTGCTCCTTTACTATTCACTTGTACTTATTACCATAAAGTATAAAAAGATAATTTCTGCTCCCGTTTTTTACTTTGTACATGGTATAAAAAGATTTTTCAAATGTAGATAAACATTTCCACTGTAGATAAACATTTACCTGGAAGACTAATTACTGCATACATATATAGTCAGAGTTTGGCTGCATTGCAAATCTTTGACTATGAACATTTTATAGTAATTCTGTTGATGTTTTAGTTTATGCACTAATGTATTAAATGTTAGATCAAAAGTGTAGTTCTGTTAAAATATAACACATGTAATTTGCAATATTGAATATCTGTTCCATGCCACTTGGGTTTTTTTGTTTCTATTAACCATAAATTACCATGTTTTGTAGATATAATTATTTTGTAGTCATGCTTTCCTGGTAACTCCTTAATAAGATACCCAAGTGTCTCTGTCTATGCTTGCATGTCATTTTATGCAAACTAGGCAATATTTGATATAATCACTTAAACATAGTTCTTTTTTTAAAACAATGCTGTTGACATAGTCCTCTCCACTATCAGCCCAGTCCAGAGTGCCTTGTCTCCTCTCTCCTTGGCTGCTCAGTAGATGTACGTGTTTCACAATGTGTCAGATCCATGGTGTAAGAGACAGGTGAATTCATGTAAAGGTACTGTGCACAGATGTCCAATTACAAATAGTGCTTGGGGCACAGCAATACTTGGCTTGACGAGAAAGGAGGGAAGACGACAATTTGCTGATCTCTTTCTACTGACAGAACTCCGACCGGAGAAGTAGAATTAAATCATGGCCTATGTTTGCAGACTTCATAAGATAAAGTGAATGTTACACAGACTGTAGTAGTTATCAGTGCGGCATTATATAAAAACACAAGGATTCATATGCCCCTCTTTTAAAACTATATGATACAGATTTCAGATAGAGAATGAACTCTAAAGCCCGATAATTATTACAGTTTTATCTGTACTGTATTGAATCTTCAAAAATATTTTTTCCTGCAACTTAAAGACAGAAAATGGGCATGTACAAGTGTACCTTGCAAAACCTGCAGTTATTTACATCCCGGTCCAACTTTTAAATGTCTGAACCATAACAGTCTTAGGAACCATGTGCAACTTCTGCTGCATAATACTAAGATTGATGCAGTCACATCCCTGAAACTCCCTGCACTGCACTGATGGTGGACTAGTCTTAGCCATCATATAGACAGATGTGAATTCATTTTGTGATTCCCCCCCCCCCAATCCTGTATTGTATCAAGATGGGTTCTCATTTTTTCTGTAATACTCTTGCTTTATGATGACAGGCTACTCTTCAAGAGTGCCTACTCTATTATATTTTATAGTAATGTTTGTCGTCTTAATAATTTTGGGCAGCATTGTGGGTACAGAGCCTATTAGACATTACTGCTGCCTCCAATTATCAGGTGTTAAGATATTTGAGACATATGTCTTTTCCCATGTAATATGCACTGAGAAGCATTGCCATCCTACAGGCAGAAATTTTGATGAAAAAACAATAAACGATTTAAATATCAGATGGTTTTGGATTTTTAATTAACATCTCTTAGCAATAAGTTTTTTTATAAGAAACTGCTTCATTCTTTAGCAAAAAGGAATTTATTTAAGATTACTATTGATCTTATATGTGGCTTTTGACATATTCTATGTATTGTATTATATGTACCGGTAAATATAATGCTACATTGAATAATTCAAATTCTGCTACCACTGTGTGGCATATTAGTCAGATTTGAAATAGCATTTGTAAAGATCACTAGCATTTCCTTTAAGTTTAATTTTTTAAAAAACAAAACTGAGAAAACACTGAGGTGTTTTAAGTGGAAATTGATATAGAAATGTTTAAATTAATAAAGAAACAAAAAATTGCTGTAATGAGCCATTTAAACCTAAGGTAGTGAAAAAAGGAATGAAATACAACTTATCTCTTATCTGAACAATGTCCCACTACTACTTTTGGCAAGAATACTTCCTAATGCAGATAAAAATGGAGGGGGAAAAAGCCAACATGCAAACAACCCTGGTAATTTTAATTTTACTATTTTTATATAATGTTTTTTCCTTGTTCCAATAAACAAGGGGCTCTGTTGTGTGCTAGAGTATCATATTTCATTCAGAAGTGCAAATTGCTTCTGAAATTTTAAATTGCTCTTGAGATTCCATAGCATTCTTACCAAAAGTATCTCAATAGAAGCTTCACCAGTTTAGACATTACTGGATATATTCTTTTAAATTACAGATTAACCAAAACACCTTTTACAATAAGAAAGAGAGCTTCCAGTCTAAAGATGATGGTATGTATCTCAAAATCCAGGTTTGGAAGGAATAGTTTTGACAGAATTTGTAGATCGGGTTACTTTGTAGCATAATAGTTTGGTACTAGAATTGGAGGTGGAATTACAACAATAAGACTTTTCTTAAAAAAACAACCTGATGTCTGACTGCATGCAGTACTTTTGGGAGCATGGATTCTATTAATTAAATATCCAACTTGCTTCCTAATATGCTCCCTAAGTGGGTGGCCCTACATTTTCTGTTTGGCTAATTACTAATACTAATTTCCGGGAACTCAATAAAATATAATTTTCTAATGCACTTGGGAACTTGGTCCTGTTGGATGAGAAGCTCCTTACACACTGTAGAAAACCAGATATGTTGCTTGGGTTACTTGGGAGTAATGACATAGGACAATAATTATAGTACTAATCTATTGGACTGAGCCCAAATTGGAATCCAGTTGGAAATGGACTCTTCTTGTAATGAATACTAAAAAGATAACATCAAATATCCAAAATAATTAGGGGTTGGAATGGTTTACAAAGTGCTTTGTTTGTTCTCTGCCGTGGTTCTGCAAGTAGTGCTGTGCAAAAACATTAGGCTGCAGATTCCAGGTGTTAAGTTTTTTCCCCCTTTTTTGGAAAATGCAATGTGGATCCTGCAATTTAGGTTTTAAAAAAAAGATTAAAGCTGGTGACTGGACATGTTATACGTTTTTCTAATTCCTTTCATCACATGAAAATGTGATGACCGAATTCTAACGGGCTTGAAAATTCATTTGGCTTCATTCACTGTATTCATTTTGTTTATTATGATAACATAGCAGTAGGAGAATACAACTACATAGGTCTGCAATCTTGAATTCAGTAAGGTTTATTTTGTTATTTCAGTGTTGGAGGGAAAAAAACTGCATGTGTGTATAGAATTTGATTTTTTTTAAAAAAAGGAAAAAACTAATACAAACGAATATCAACTAAGAAAAATAAACCAAGGAGAAAGTTAAAAGTGCAAGGAACAAAGAGTAAAGTAAAAGAAAATAAAGAAAAAAGGGAAAAGATACAAAGATGTAGCTTCTGATCTCTAAGTATAAATCTAGATCTTACTCTTTGGTTACAAGTATAAAAACCCGTTTTAATCAATTCTATTAGATCTTCTATATTCATATTTTTTGTTAACATCTCCGTCTTCTCTCATTTACTCTTGAAACCTGCTAATGCACCAATTATTTTAGTTTTCCCATTAATGTTTCAATTCCCTTTAAAGGGTCTTCCAGGAGCAAAACTTTCAAAGTTTAAGTTCTACTGACACTTTCAAAGGTTTCCAGATTAGGTTGGCCCTAAAAAAAGAAAAGAAAAAACCGTAACCAAAATCGCTCAAAAAATTTCGAAGCGCAAGACCTCTCAAACAGCCAAAAAGCCAACTTCCCGCCACCTAGCCTCCCGCTGGGCACGCTTGCGCCGTAGAGAAATCGCGAAGCACCATAGAGAGCTGTACACGACAACAAGAACACTGATCTCGATTTACTTCCGGTATCAAAGGCTCATGTTCAGCTGTTTCCTCTGCTTGTAAAGTTCGGTTACTTCTCTACCTCTGTCAAGATGGCGGCGGGCGCGGGGAGCGGAAGTGGCTCCGGTACGGCTGGAGCTGCCTCGGTAGCCTCGCTCTGGAGCGAAGTGAATCGCTGCGGCCAGAATGGGGATTTCGGGCGCGCTCTGAAGTCCGTCAATAAAAGTGAGCGAGTGTTGCCGCCCTACCGGCGTATCTTTTGAGGCGGAGGGGGGGGGTGTCAGTGTGGACCGACAACCGTCCGTTGTAGACAATTGCAGCAGCACAGGTGACGATGCATTTGTCTTCAGTGGAGTTCTTCCGATTTTGTGAGGCAGATTGCTACCTGCCTTTCCGATGCCGTAGGTAGAGCATTGGCAAAGGAGTAACAGCTGGTCTTGTCTGAGGTGAAATTCAACTGGAGCTTGTTATTCTGGACTGCTCAGCTTCTCTATTAAAGATACAATTGTATTTGTTTTCACGCTGATCTCGCGACGGGGGAAGGAGAACTCGCCTCTGAGAATGGTTGCTGGCTACTTTTGCTTTGGCCATAGCCGATTAATGTGCCTTTTTGCCCCAAGGTCTGTGACATAGGAATGGTAGTAATGCCATTCTGCGATTCTGTAAAAATAGTGTCACAGAATGACACCTACCATTCAAAAAACATTTTATAATCAGGTATATAGCCTTTGATGGGGTTAAACAAGCTTCCGAAAGCTGTTGTTACTGTAATGCTGTAACAGTGCTTCATTTCTATTGACACGCTCTGCAAAATATCCATTTCATGCACAAACCCTTTTCTATATGTTCATCTCAAGCGAGTTCTGATGGCTTTTAACAGCTGTGTGACAGGTAAGGGATTCATTACATGTCTTTCTAATCACTGCATTAGGAAAATGTTTCCTTTGCTGAATGGCCCCTTGTTATATAGTTTTTAAAAGCATAGGGAAAATGGAAAGTAACAGCCTTTCATGGCTGTTGCACCTGTACTTACTGTAACAAGCTGGCCTTTCCTCACAATTGCCCTAAACAGCCATACCTTTTTAATGTTTCCAGGCACAGCTTAACTGTAATTAGGCAAAAGAAAAATTAACTAATATTTATGATGATCTCATTCCCTAGTAGTATTAGCGTATTATTTGTCTCCTTTATCATACTATGTGAATTTCAAACCCAGTTCCATTTTAAATTATTTGGAGAAAATCGAGATAGACGTCCTTTCAATTAGATACAGTAGTTCAGGAAAGACAGTAATTATGCTGTTAATGATTTTTGTCCAAAATGGAAACTTCCACCAAATAATTTGCTTTCCAAAAATAAAATTGACCTGTACACGGGCATATATTCTTCAGAATGTTCAGTTTATAAATCCAGCTAAGTTTTCAAAATCAGAGGTATAAATAGGTAACAGGTGCAAACTGTTTTTAGTATATGTTCATTCTGTAGCTTAATGCATTGAATTTGCTTCTAGTACTACAAATCAGTAAGGATGATGTGACTGCTTTACACTGCAAAGTGGTATGTCTCATACAAAATGGAAGCTTTAAAGAAGCCTTGAGTGTGATTCACACCCATGTCAAAGTATTAACTAGGTAAGTATTATTAAATATTATTACACAGCCTATCTCTGCTATGTTTTCTGTATTTTTTGAAATATGAAAAATTACATAGATGTGTAAAAGTAAAACACATTTATAGAAAACATAGGGATGCACTTATTTCAAAACACATTTGAAGGAAGTTTTTCAGAACTTATACGATTACTATACCTCTGATACTTATTAAAGCAACCCAGTCTTTCTCAGTTTTGTGAGCCTGAAAAAAAGAAATGACTGCTTTAATAAGTCCACTGATTATGTTGATAATAATAATAATATCATAGTTGTCAAAAATCAAAACGTATAATTTATTGACATCGCGGTACCAGGAGAGGCCAGAATCGAAGAAAAAGAACTGGAAAAAAATCATGAAATATCATGACCTGATACTACACAGCTATGGATGAAACATGTAACAGTGATACCCATTGTCATTGGGGCACTTAACTGTAATTAGCATGTTTACCATGTCCAAGAATTTTATAAGATACATCAACAAATTACAGTTTCCTGCAATAACACCAGTGGAACTGCAAAAAAACTGCGCTACTTGGAACATCGTACATCTTAAGAAGATACTTGGTTGATATCTAGGACTCTGGCAGCAACCCGTATCAACCATTAGCACCAGTCAGTGGTATTTGTGATGCATTTTTGAATGTTCAGTTGACTGAGTTTCATGTTTAATGAGTAAACTAAATAATAATAATAATAAATTTATTGTCATTGTACGTGCATACACAGTATACCCATACAACGAAATTCACTTAACACCCAAAGACCAGGTCCAACACACATAACAATCCCCAAACACACTCCCACCCACTACAAATTCCCCTAAACCACCCAAACATCCACACAACAGACCAAGTAATACTGTCCAACAGTTCACAGATGGTAGCCCTTTAGTTCATTGTTGAGTGCAATTATAGCTCTGGGATAAAAACTATTCAGAAAATGTGTGGTATGAGTTTTAATTGTTCTGTAATCTGCCAGAAGACAACAGTCCAAAAAGATTAGATGATGAGATTGTTGAAGCAGTCATGTCTTTTTTCAGGCTTGCTCAGACCTAATTATCAATGCACAGAGAGCTGTAT